TGTGTACATTCTGCAGAGGAAGATATTCTCCACTCTTTCTCTCTCTACATATATATATATATATATATATATATTCTTTTATTGACATCGTCCTTTTCTTCTTCTTCTTCCTGTAACCTGTGTTCTTCCTCACTTTTCCTCCCCTTTTCTTCTCTCATCCATCTCAATTCTCAACATTCTTTTCCTTTCTCTGTCCTTTCCCACTGGAGTATCCATCTATCTCTCTCTCTCTCTCTCTCTCTTTATCCCTCTTCTCTTAGTAAAGTGATGTTTTCTTCATCACCCGCAGAAACTCCTCCTCACTCACCTCTCCATCCCCATCACGGTCTGCCTCATCTATCATCTCCTGCAATTCGGCATCTGTCATATTTTCACCAAGTTCCTGAGCCACACGCTTTAAGTTCTTAAACGTAATCTTTCCTGTTTTATCATCATCAAAAAGGTGAAATGCCTTCATCATCTCCTCTCGAGAATCCCGCTCCGTCATCTTGCGGGCCATTAATTCCATAAACTCTGAGAAGCCAATCGCTAACGGCTCCATCCCCACAGCCCCCGAGATATCATTACCAGCACCCCCACCCGCACGTTCTTCCATTGTAGAAGAGAGTAAACGACGCACTTCATCCTTGTGTGGATCAAACCCAAGTGCTCGCATAGCCACCTTTAACTCCTTCGCATCTATAGTTCCACTGCCGTCTGTGTCGAAGAGATCAAACGCCTCCTTTATTTCCTGCCGCTGCTCATCTGTGAGGTCCGAAACGGCGGAGGTGGTGATTCCCATCTTTGGTTGGTTCCCCACTGGGGTCGGTACACCCGGGCGTGGGGGACGACTCATGTGGAATAAATAGAAAAAATCGTAATGGGGACTTTTATTTCGTAAACTAACTAAGAAGAAAAAAACAACAAAAAAAAATAAACCCGATGAGAGTAGATAAGAAAGAAAAAAATATACATATATATTTAGTCTCAAGTTAATGGCATTCTCAAAGAAGAAAAAGAAAAAACAAAGAAAAAATATATATATATATCCGCAACAACCACAGATAAACGGTGACGTTGGGGCATACAAAAGGAGGAATGAGATTCCTTTATCTTTGCAGACGTCTATATATATATATATATATATATATGTATACGTCCGCCATTTCTTACTCGCGAGTGACACAACAAAAACATCAATCTCAAATTAGATCTGTTTTTTTTTTTTTTTTTTTTTTTTTTTACGTTCCCTCTCTTTTCTTTCTTTCTTTCTTTCTTTTTCTTTTTTTCTTTCGTTCCTTTTCATTCTCTTTCTATTTCTTCTGAACACCTCTACCCCTCTCGCTCCTCACTCCTTTCCTTGAGCTGCATTTCAAAAGTGTTAATATATATAAATATATATTTATATGCACAAGGGCAGAAATAAAAACAGAGGAATTAAAGCAATTCGCAATCATCCGTCATTAATGATAGTTGCTTGAGACCACATTAACGGAGCTCCCACTTGATGACTTGCTGTCACCCCTGCTGCTGCTACTACGACTACGACTACGAATACTACCACTACTATTACTACCAGTTCCACTACTACTAATGCTGCTGTTTGTTGTAGTTTCACTTCGACGTCGTTTTCGCTTTTTCTCTGTTGTATCACCACTACAAGAGGATTCTACACCTTCAACTTTCATTGTTCTTATTACTGTTGTGGTTGTGGTTGTTTGTGCTGTCGTTGATGTGGTGGTGGTTATTGATGATGATGAAGCTTTAGGATTAGGGTTCCTCCCTTTAAGTATCAGTTCATCTTCCTCACATCGGTACATGGATACTGCCTTCATCTTTTCATCATATCTGATATCCCGCATAATAGCTTCATAGGCAGTAGCAATAGATTGGCGTCTTTTAACACTAGGAGCATCCACATGCAGAATACGAGAAAGCAATGTAGGGCGTCGTGCAATTTCTGTGGAGTCTGGTGATAAACTCTGTACACCATCAGCTGGTGAGTTAAAGACTGCCGTTAAAGCCATATATGCATGTGCAAACACAGAAGTGATGACATGAAAAATACGCAGTGAACTAGCCGCATTATTTTGCGTACATCCTGGATCTTCTAGTAATACCTGCGGTGGACCCATTGCGGAGCGCTGCATTCCAGATCCCGAATCATTATTATTATTATTATTATTATTATTATTATTATTGTCGGTACGTTGAAAGTAACGACCTCCATCCAGTAGGGATATACCACAGCGGTTGTAGCTAAAGTACATACCATAATAACGGAAGAAGTCCACCAATAAACGTCCCAGTCCAGAGTAGGTTCGCTCCTCTGGAGAACTGGTATAAATAGGATGATGTTGAAGAAAACTTATCACCAATAGTGTGGTTGCAAAAGAACCAAGACCACCATGATAAGGTTCATGCATTCCACGTTGTTGTAGGAAATACTTTACTACCACTATAAGTGGTCGTGCCTCAGGAAACTGCTGTAGCATATCCACTACAATAGCAGAGTTACGTTGACCATCACCAGCATTAATACTGATATCCACATCCAATAAAGAGAGACGATGTTGAAATTTCACCAATGGTACTTTCGTTTTAAGAATAAGTTGTGGATAGGCCGCATGACATAATCCTTCACGACTGATTTCACGTGCCAATGCTGTAAGTGCCTCCTCTGTTGGCACAGGTACGTTTAGAATTGTCATATCCAAATCGGATAAGGGGAGAAGAAGATGTGTAGACATACTACCATACACAATGGGTTCACACTCTGGCCAGAGACGCTTCGCAATAGCTGTAACTTCCATTTCAATAAGACGTCGCATTCGTACTTCCGCCTCTGATGGGCGAAGATAAGAGACGAAATCACATATTTCTTGATGTAAAGCGATGAGAGGATTAGAGGCATAACCGTTTTGTGAAGTAAAACGTTCCACACACCATAATGGCACCACACGTTGAAGTATAGGAGAAGAAGTAGTAGTAGTAGTAGTAGTAGTAGTAGTGCTGGACATGAATCTCTGTTGTTGATAATCATAGGATGATGATTGTTGATATTGTTGATCCTGTTTTCGAAAATCCTTTATTCCTCCTCTTCTTGAAAGAGTTTCTGAGGAAATCCCGGTAACATGCACTCCCTCTTGAAGTGTAACGGTTACTTGCAGATCACTTTTCGAGATATTATCGCCAGTACCATTAATAGGATGGAGACTGAGGTAATCCCCACGTAGACCATCATTATCATCATCCACAATCACAACATCTTCATCATTTTCAGAAGATGCTTGACTTGTATAATCCATTGAATTAAGACCATGCGGTGTATACTCATCATCATCATCATCATTATCATTATCATCATCATTATTATTGTTTTTTAAACTCTCTGAAGAAGTTGGTTTGGTTGTTTTCGTTGTTGTTGTTGTTGTTGTTGCTGCAGTAGTCCTATCCTCAGAATGGGAACTCGTTCCATTTCTCTGTTTCTGCATAGTTCCTTGATATTGACGTAATTTCTCTGATAATTCGAGAGAAATGGGTGGAGTTGATGACATCTCTCCCTCCTGCAGCATTAACCAGTCAGAACTGAAGTCACTGTTTTTCTGTTGAAATCGTGTAAATAAACTTAATGTGGGAGCTGGTGGGGGAATATCCGCCAGAGGAACACCACCTGCAGTTGTGAAGGATGAGGAGGAGGAGGAGGATGATGATGTTTGTCCCTGGCTGTAAATAACACCCTCCGCATTATCTTTCTTTCTCAACTTCTTGTTCTTATTATTATTATTACTCTTTGGGCTCTTGTTGTTGTTGTTGTTGTTGTTGTTGTTGTTGTTTGTACTGTTGTTACTGCTGATGGCTCCACTACTGCTAATAGTTCCACTATCACCGTTGTTTGTGCTGGTCAGAGACGTAGGCGAGTCAT